AGCTCTGCAGTCGTCCAGCATCCTGTTTCTGATAGAAAGAAAACACTTCAGCTGCAGCTGTTTCAACACAGAGCTGTTCATTTTAAAAACGGGAAGGAACATGGAGACATCATCTGGAAAATGATTTCTTTAAACTCTGCTCACAGACCATCATGAATTCAAAGTGAATAATTTCATCAAGGACGTCTTTTTATAGTTTTATGATGCTAACATTTTAAATCCAGTCTTTCTAATTCTTGAAAATGAAAATCAGAATCTGGCTATAATAAAGTTTATAATTATCTTGTTCTTTATGGCATGTTGACCAGATACAGTCATCCTGCTGATGATTCTAGTTTACAGTAGTCTGAAGATAGTGAAACTTCTCAACACAGTGTCTCTTGGTTTGGCCAGTAATAGTATTGATGTCGTGAAGGTCTTTGCTCTGTGGTGAAGTGCATCAGTGTGCACTAAAAGCAGATGTTTGCAGCTTTGTGGTTGTCCTCTTTTCTCTTTCACAGAAACATCCTTCAGATTTATGTGGTCAGTTTCATAGCAGAGATGTTAAGATAAGAAAAGCGTGTGAAGCTGCAGTTTATAAAACCTATTGCTCAATCTCTACACTGTGCAACATTATGAATAAAACCAATCTTTGCAATAATATGACAGTCATACAGATTTTGTACAATGTCAAAGATGTTTTATTTTGCAGAGAGTTACTCAGCTGCAGTCTACTCAGCAGTGAAAACTGAAGATATGAGTAATGGACGAACAGCCATCAGAGCCAGGAGGACCAGGTACAGCCGCTCTTATCTTTAACTTTAAACAAGCTAGCTGCTCCCCCTGCTCACCATCATGCTAAGCTAAGCTAACAGAATCGTATCATATCTCGAGCTCGGTCTGAACTGGGACTGTGTGTGATGCAGAGAGGTGGAGATTGTAAATAAGATTGTAAATAAGAGAGCAACCAAGGTCTTGATTGAACTACAAAGCTTTTAATCATGTTTTCTGTTGTTTGAACTGTGTGTGTTTGTGTTCAGACTTTAAACCAGAGCCAGACGTTGTCTACTCTTCACTGAAGTAGTCCACCAGTCCAACCACTGACGTCCAGCTGCTGGTCTCTAGTTGGTCTCCCCAGCACTTCAAACCAGAGATCCACAAGTTAACAATATATATTTTTAATATGTTTTTATTTAACTTGTATACATTATTTTATCTTATCTTTTATGTGAATTTTCTCTAAAATTTAAAATGTGAACAGTAAATGTTAAAATGTTCTGGTGACTGTGGTTCAGATGGTAATTTGATTGGTAGTTTGTCAGGTGATTTTTGGGCAGGATACTGAACTTTGAGCTTCCCCCAATGCATGCACATGAGTGTGTCTGTGAATATTACAATATTTATCCTTGCAATAACGTATGTGTGAATGAGACTTGCAATAGAAAGCGAAAGTGCTTTGAGTGTTCGTCTTGCGTGTTTTCCTCGTGTGTTTCTGTGAGTCTAAAAAGATTTAAAACGGAAACTTAAATAAACATCAAACCACACCAGACTAAATTTGTGAATTCATGTGAATCAGAACCGACTTATTTTTCGACCACATCTCCTGAACCACCAATCTCCTGTTAAACTGCTCACCATTGAACTTTGGAATTACTAATAACTTTTAAATTCTGCTGCCATCTGCTAGTTAATCTAAGTTTTACAGCAGAGCAGCTGCTTTATAAATGACAGCAGTTTAACAGCCAAACATCAAGCAGGCAACATCAACCTACTTTGTATTATGGTTACATTTTACTCACACGCTAAAGAAGAGTTTCAGAAACTTAAATATGCCACATTTTAAATTGGTCCTTCGATGCATTTTCCAGTAGGCAAGGACATAAAGGTCAAAAGCTGATGAAAAAGGGATAACGGCATGACACGCTGGATAATGGAGGACACTGGCAAAAGTAAAACCACAGAAAAATTAATCAGGAGGGATAAAACTCAACATGGTTATCACTATTTTTTCTCTTAGTGTAGAAGTGAAAGAGGAGAAGTATCCATTGCAATGCCAAAGTACTAGAGGGGGACACAAGGCGAAAGCTGGTCTTTAAATCCGCTGCAGTAAAGAATTTAAGGCAAACAGGTAACAAGGTCAACAGGAGAGACTCCGCCTCTGGGCAGGGCCAAACAAGGGAACCAGACAACCTCAATCTCTTCTTCACCTGCAGAGAGAGACAGAGGCAGAAATGAGGAGGGAGAAACAGCAGATGGCCATGACAAGAACAACATAGATACCTGCTGTCACACTCACAGACTTTCAGCTTCCTTTATCAGATTTTAAACTCAGGGATTCTGTGATTCTTGAAAAATACCACCATCTTTTGGACATTTATCGCACTTTAAATGAAGAAGCAATGTCTGCTGTAACGTCTGCATCTCTCTGCCTGACTTTACTGTCTCTCTGCCTCTTGTTTGTCTCTGCAGGTGAGATTGAATTTCTGATTGATAAAATAATACCTCTTTAAGAATTCTGTTCATGGTTTAAAAAAGTGTGTTTAACTGTATGACCTGCCAGATATGCCTAAAGTTAAAGAGTTAAAGCTTAATTCTGACTGTTCCTGCTCCAGAGCAGTTTCAGCAAACACTGTGATTCACAAAGAAATGTGGCTTTCTTCCAGGAGGAGAGCTGAGTCGTTTAACAGCATTAACACTCTGTTTACCCGAGCTTGTCCTCTCCTCCTGCTACACCTGCTTCGTTTCCTCATACCTACAGTTTATGTCAAAGTTCACATCAGAGCACATCTGATATCTGCTTATCTGCACAAGTTTGTATTTTTCAAGCATAACGAGTCAGGTTGAATCAGTTCTTGCACAGCAGTCTGTCATTAGCACAAGGATGGGTGCAGTAATCAGTTGGCAAAAAAATAATCTTTCATAAAAGCTTCTCATTGGGACAAAAAAGATCTTTATTTTTGAAGTAACTGCATGACCTCACCTTTCACTATTCACAGAAAAGTGTCACTGTCATTGAATTTCAAACAGCATTAGTAGCTAGAACAGATATTTAAAAATGTAAAACTTGAATTTAGTAGACTTTGCTGCAAGATTCCAGATTAATGCTCCATTATCAGTCGTTTGAGTGAAGCATAAATGGCTGTTCTGAGCTTTACTGCCTACCTTTGCAAGCGAGATTCATTAGGATTCCCTTGCAAAGCTAGGCCATTTGGATGGAGGTCATCAACTTTTCTTCTTGATCAGGCCCAGTGAGCACTCACTTTTCACATAAAAAAAGAAAGTTGTTGGACTCATCATTTCACTCTTCTTCCACATACAATGGATGTGACCCCAAACACAGAAATGGATGGTTGACCACTTAGTGCTGTGCACCAGTGCATAGTAGACCTCCTCTGAAACTTGATATTTGAAATATGACACAACATTAAAAGCTGATTTCAAATCTAAAACTATCCCATTGGCTGATCAACATGGGTAAGGGAATTATATTAGTTGGTAGCCTGATTGAAGAGAAATGTATTTAAACGAATGTGCCCCTTGTGTTTGTCTGAAGCAATTTACAGTAAAAAGCTCACTTATCTCGCAGTAGCTCCCAACTGTGTAGTGACTGGTTTTACTTGCATCTCTTTAACCACTCTGTTGTTTCCTCTTTCAGACCAGAAAATCATCATAGCTGTGCCGGGACAGACGGTCACTCTGCCATGTCGAGCTCCAAACAGCGGCAACCCCATCATAGCTGCAGAGTGGAGCAGAGCTGACCTGGAGCAAGAATATGTCCTTTTTTACCGGGACGATAAGCTTGATACAGAAAATCAGCATCCGTCTTTTAAGAACCGGGTGGATCTGCAGAACAGACAGATGAAGGATGGAGACATGTCTCTGATTCTGAAGGATGTGACGACTGATGACTCGGGAGCATACGAGTGTTACGTGGTCCAGAGAGGAGCGAACCGCAGGAAGAGAGCCAGTCTGGATAGTGACCCCATCAGCACCACCTACCTGACTGTTGTTCCTCCAAGTGAGTTGGTAGAGTTTAGTTTATTAGTAGAGTTGAAGCTGCTTCCTGGTTGTTGCTGTCTGAAGTTTTTTTGAGTTAAACATGTAGCAGAGGTCCAAAGCTTGGATCTTTGTGCCTTGTATTTCCTACTGGCTGCAGCCTGTAGAACATAAGTGGACAAACATATGTTCTTCTTAGATGGCCACAGTAACTTAGACAAAGTTGGTAAAGGGCTACATGTTGAAGAACTAGTTAAAAATAAACATGATACTTTTTTTTTTTTTTTTTGGCTGCTATAGTGATCGATTAGTCCTTTAACCTCTCTGCTCTGTGTTGTTTTGTCTTTCAGGCCAGAAAAACATCACAGCTGAGTCTGGACAGAACGTCACTCTGACATGTCGAGCTCCAAACACTGTCCTCATACCAGGTGTAGAGTGGAGCAGACGTGACTTGAAGGCACAATATGTCCTTTGGTACTGGGAAAAACAATTTGTTCCATATTACCAGCATCCATCTTTTAAGAACCGGGTGGATCTGCAGGACAGACAGATGAAGGATGGAGGCGTGTCTTTGATTCTGAAGGATGTGACGACTGCTGATAGTGGAACATATGAGTGTTGTGTCGTCCATGAAGTAAGAGAAGGTAGAAAGTTGGCCATTTTAAAGACTGAGCCCATCAGCGTCATCCACCTAAAGGTTATTTCACCAGGTAAGTCAGTGGAATTCAGTTTGGCTTTGGACGCATTCAGTTATTGTCAGAGTTGTTTGGCTGTGAACTGATAACTCAAAATGCATAAAAAGATGTTGCCTGTGATCAGAGGTGAAGCTTGTGTATACCTGACACCTCACACCTATTTCTCACCTGCAGGTCAGCCAGGAGGACACGGAGAGGATGGGGCTGTTGGACTAACAGTTGTTATTGTGCTTTCTATTGCTCTTTTCGCAACTATAATATACTACATAAAAATGATAGACAATACAGAAGGAGAAAAAAACAGCACTTCCCAGACGAGCAGCAAGCTGAAACGCTCCACTCGTGTCACTCGTCCCACCTTTCGTAGCAAAAAGACAGATGCTTCCAAGACAGATGTGAGTTCACAGTGACGGGAATCCAGCAGACAGTAGTCAGCTGTAAATGTCTAACTTATCTTGAGTTTGTTTTTTCCATCTTTAGAGTTTTTCTGGTTCGGATTGGTGGCGTTTGGGAGTGGGTACGTCTAGTCTGCAAATAGTTAGAAATCAACCATCATAATAATAAGTTAAAATGACAGTTTTCATCGTTTTCCTTTGGGGAACACGGAAATGTCTTTGGAGCACCTAAATGTTTTTCTATGGAGGAAAAGAGTTCTGTTTGTGAAGATCATGAGAACATTTCTGTAGTGAAGTTACCTGTTTTATCAACTTTCTTCATCAGTTTTGATGCATTTTTTTTGCGCCTTTCCCCAGTTTATATCGATTGTGTTATTTTATTATTAATAAAGTGTGAACATGTGCTAATGTTGAATGTGATTTCATAAGTCCTGCTGTGAGGTTTTTGACTGTCTGTGAAGATGCTGGCTCATAATGAAAACTACACTCGTCACTCATTGTAAAAAAAAAATAATTATTTATTTAGGATTACTTATATATTATATTATGTGATATATTTATTACTCTCATTTCTTTCAGATCACAAAACCATGAACAGAAAAAAAACCTGTGATAAGAGCTTGGATGAAGGGGCAAAGACAGCACTTTTCAGTTGCAGTGAAAATAAAACAAACAAACAAAAAGAAAGAAAATTGAAAAAAACAAAAACCCACCAATGATAAAATCTACCTCTGTTACCTTTCTGGCAGTTAGACATTCTTTAGATTCCTACAGTTTACAATCTTGAGATCAAGGTTTAAAGCAGAAAAAAATGATGCAAGTATTTCCATCACAGTCGGATTAAAATCTGTTCACTGTAAAAAAAAAAAAAAAGTAAGTATTTGGGGAGGTGAACCTGAACCACTCATACTAGGTCAGTTCTGATAGATCAGAGAGTTACTGGATCTTATCTGACATCTGTTTCTGCCTGGTTACAGTTGATGAGTAAGAGACAAAGAAAGGTGTTTTGCCGTTGTGTGTGTTTTTTTTTTTTTTGTCAAACTTGTTTTGTGGACTCCCGCATGAAAATACTGCTCAAAACAATTAAAGGAGCACTTTAAAAATAGATCAGACGTCAAAGCTCATGCTAGACAGGTATATGATATGGAGTGGGTAGCGTGTTAAAAGGGATGCCACATAGTTTCATGGAAATGAAACTTATCTAGTAGACTGAACTTAAAGAAACATCAAACATCAAGGTGAAAGGATTATGTGGAAGGCTGGTCCATTTTTCAGTAACTCATACTGGTGCTCAGTTTGGATGGCTCCCATGTGCTTGTATGTCTACCTGACAACATCAGGTCATGCTAATGATGGATGGTGTCTCCTCCGAGACCTGGAACAAGGCATCACTGAGCTCCTCGACCATCTGAGGTGGACCAAAAATTTAATGTCACCGAGGTGTTCAATTGGATTTTGAACCGGTCAGTGGCATCAATTTCTTCAGCCTTCAGGAACTGCCTGCATACTCTTGCCACATAGCACTGGGAATTATTGTGCACCAGGAGGAACCCAGGATCCAGGATATGCCAGACCATCACTGACCAACAACCAACTGCCAACCTGTGTAGGGTCCAGGTATAGACTTGTGCTACCAGCAATGACACTGACCCCAGCCAAATAAAAAACTAGTAAATAAAAAAATCAGAAAAGATGAGGGGGGTTTGAGTTGCCTGATTGTTGCTAAACTCTGATTTAAAAAAAGACTGTATCAGTTTTTAAAGTTTACTATTTTCCCATCTGTCCATGAAATGTTAAGTGGTGAAAAAGAAAAAAGAAATTCTTTGTGGCACAATATTATCAGGATCAATAAAAATAAAATATGCATATCAGTGTCACTCCACAGTGAACTGATCATTAAAAATATTATAGAATATATTTTCAAATAACTTCCATGTTTCTTGTAGCAGAAATATGTCGCTCTGCTGTAATACACCAAGATTACCAACAGATGGCGGAAGACTTTAAATGTGAATCTGCATCACTAGCCTCAGTGGGAGTTTACAGAGTGTGTGGGGTTTGTGCTGACTCAGGAAAAAGGAAAACACGATTTAAAAAATATCTTCAGGCTCAGTTTGAGTCACAAGCTCATGAGTTTTTGAAGCTTGTCAGACACCGAATCATCTCAGCTCTCTGTGTTCATGTTAAACTACTGAGTGAATCTCCGTGGAGGAGGGGCATTTAAAATACAAACATCCAAACAGCGATCTCTAAACTGATAGCCATAGTTTTACTCTGCTTCCTGTTACACCACATGACTGGAATTAGTGCAACTGTCAAATATAATGAAATTATAAATCTAAGCTAACATGTTCAAGTGGTTACTTTCTTTTTTTATGAAATAAAAGTCAAAATTATGACTTTTTAGTCACATAAAACTAGATCATGATCATGAAATTAATTTAAATCATGTAATTAGCTAAAGGTTGAAAAATCTGCCATGTTAGTTTGTTTGTGTTGGTTAGTTTCTAAGTGACACACACTGTTTCTGTGCAGTTTACATAACACACAATAACAGGATTACACAAAGGCTTTCCTAAACTCACTTCACTGAGTTCACTGACTATAGTGCCAACACTCAGGACTTACTCCAGAACTTTCACATTACAAATCTTACACCTTCCTTCATTAATGAGCTTTTAATGTGAAAGTACCCCAGCAAAAAGCAGCATGTTTAATAGAAATGTCTGTACAGTGGTGACTCTGTCGTTGTTCTGATGAATCAGAGTTGTAAATATGAGCCTGTGTGTGTATCTGTGTTCCTGTTGTAAACAAGAAATGTGCAGCTAATGAGTCAGCTGCAACATCTTGACACACCAATCTTCTATTCTAGGTCAGGTTTTGTTTATTAAGGAACACACCCAGCTCTTACTTCTAGTTCCCCACCCAAACACAACACTGGATCCGGCCCCGACTCCTGCTCATGTTGCTGAAACGCTTCTTGATCATTTTAAGGAGCAGTTCAAACTTTCACGAAACAGATTATAACAAACTGAGAAGTGCTGAGAGTCACAGCCAGGTGAGCTGTAAGGGTTACAATGAAAAACTGATGGCCTGTCATGCTTCTGTCTTCAACTGTCACTCAAAGATTCAAAGAATGCAGGGGAATCTCTGCATACCAGGAAGAAGCTGAAAAACAGGATCTCAGGGCTCAGCTCCGAAACACTTCCATCACTCTGACTCCACCTTTCTCAGAATCCATTCATAGAGAGCAGCTGAAGGCATCCACCCACCCGCATACACCTGGTAAAACTCTCAGTTCCTTTCACTTTATTTGATAAGTTGTAGTTTACTGAGGTTTTTATCTCTGGAAATATTCACATCATTCTAGGTCATCTGTGTGAAATGCCTGCTGTAGCGTCTGTGTCTCTCTGCTGGACTTTACTGTCTGTCTGCCTCCTACTCGTCTCTGCAGGTGAGATTAAACTCATTTTATACCAAACAGGATTCCCTCATGTTTTAAACAGCGTCTGTTTCTAGACTCTCCTAAATCATGTTGTATTAGGGCAGTGAAACACATCTGGAATGGGGTTTTGTTGCTGTGTATCTATTGCTTTCAATATATTTGTTTCTAAGATCCAGTACAGTTTTACTGTTATGTTTATGTGCACAGTTAAAAGACTGCATTTTTATAATGCAAATATCTTTGGTTCTTTTTTCTTGTTTAGATGTATTATATTGTTTTAGTACTGCGTCATCACAATACATCAGTTGGTGTATGTTCTGACTGATAATGAGTAAAGTAGCTCTTCTATTTTATTCTATTTAGCTAAGGTTAAGGACCAGTCAGATCTCAACTGACTCAGCTGGACATAGAATCAAACCTAAATCAAAAATGATTTGAGGTCTTTTTTCAAGAACATTCTAACCAGCAGATGAGGATCCAGGAACATAGATAATAAAAACTCTACCTGCTACACTCGGTTTTTATCTGACTCTCGCGGCCTCTTTTTTTCATTTCCTCATACCTGAGATTGTTTTTGTGACATACCACTGCATGCATACCAACCTCGTTTAGTCGCATCTTATATCTTACAGATCGCATTGTACTCTGTCAGCCTATTAGAGCACTTCACTCTCGCTCTGCAGACCTACTTGTTGTTCCTAGAGTATTTAAAAGTAGAATGGGAGGGAGAGCCTTCAGTTTTCAGGCCCCTCTTCTGTGGAACCAGCTTCCAGTTTGGATTCGGGAGACAGACACTATCTCTACTTTTAAGATTAGGCTTAAAACTTTCCTTTTTGCCAAAGCAAATAGTTAGAGCTGGACCAGGTGACCCTGAATTCTCATAATTGTTGTTGTGAGACCTTCCTATGATTCACTCGGTGTTTCTTCTTCACTCACTATGTCTGTGAAGCATCTCAGTCATCCAGGTCATGGTAATCTAAGGAGCTTAGAAAGAAAAGCGACTGGACCTCTTTGCGTTTCTTGAAGACGTTTCCCCTCTCATCTGAGAAGCTTCTTCTCAAACATCTTCAAAATCTCAAAGAAGTCCTTTCACTTTCTTTCTAATCTCCTTACTTCATTTACTATGTGTTTGTACACCTCTCTGCATTTAAGCATTTGTTACTATTAATCTCTGGCTCTCTTCTGTAGCATGTCTTTTGTCCTGTCCTTCTCCCCTCAACTCAAATTAGCCGCACCTCCCTGAGCCTGCTTCTGCTAGAGGTTTCCCCAAGTTAAAAGGGAGTTTTTCTTTCCCACTGTTGCCAAAGCGCTTGCTCACAGGGTGGTCGTCTGATTGTTAGAGTTTCTGTATTATTAAAGTATCTTTAACTTACAATATAAAGTCCCATAAGGTGACTGTTAGTGAAATTTTTGGCTATAAAGATGAAATTAAATCAAATTGAAATGAACTGGATTAAAATACAGCCACCTCTGTGCCAATGAAAACTGGAACTTTAAGTTCAAAACAGTGCATTAACTCATGAATTTCAGTTCCTTGTACAGCCCCCTGAGCTCTCTGCTCTGGTCTCTGTCTCACTGGATGCTGTTTTAGTTGCTTTAACATCTCGGCTATGTTTCCTTTTTCAGACCAGAAAAACATCACAGCTGAGTCTGGACAGGACATCACTCTACCATGTCAAGCTCCAAACAACAAGACCATCAAAGGCGTTGAGTGGATCCAACCTGAACTGGAGCAAGAACGTGTCCTTTTTCACTGGGATGAAAAAGTTATTCCAAGCAACCAGCATCCATCTTTTAAGAACCGGGTGGATCTGCAGGACAGACAGATGAAGGATGGAGACGTGTCTTTGATTCTGAAGGATGTGACGGTTAATGACACTGGAACATACGAGTGTCGTGTCCTTGTGAGGGGAGGGAACCGCAGGAAGAGAGCTAATCTGGGTGGTGAACCCATCAGCATCATCTACCTGAGTGTTGTTGATCCTCCAGGTTAGTGAGCAGAGTTGAGTGTGTGTGTGATCAGAGCTGAAGCTGCTTCCTGGTTGTTGATGTTTGTTTCTAAAGATGTTGTTGATGAGACTTTGTAGAAAGCAGCTGGTCTGAGTGATGTGATCAGAGTGCAGCAGATAATGTCTGACAGCAGTTTGAAGAGGAAATGGATTCTGTTCTGTTCTTCACTCATCACCTACCTGACAGCTGACACCTCACACCTGTTTCTCACCTGCAGGTCAGCCAGGAGGACACACAAAGGATAGAGGGAAGATGCTTGGAGGTGTTGCTCTGCAAGTTTTTGTTGTACTTCTTGTTGTTGTTAGCTTTGTGATTTTACTAGAATACAAAAAAAGACGAAAGCACCAAATGCGACCACGTCGTTCTTGAACAGCAGATTCAGTAATGTTAAAAACATCTAATCCCAGGATGTGAATCTTATATTTCTATGTACACAGGTTCCCCACTAGGGGGAGCCAAGGAATTATAATCAACACAACTGGAAGATAGCCACACGAATGCATAGGAACAAGAGGCAAAATGAAGGACTTAAGCCAAAGACATTTAAGACACCTTAGACACATGTAAAACTAAATGAGGACGTGGAAACATAAACATGATACAGAAACCAAAAAGTAACGACTGTGGCTTGAACACGTAACTTCCAGAACCAGAACTTAGAATATAATGGAAAAAAGGTACAAACTCAAAAAACAGAGTCAGGAACCGTGACAATTACTGTCACAGTTGTTTCCTATTTTTCTCAACAATTTTATTAACATTTTTCATTTCCATGTGGGTTAAGTAGTTATGTAGACCAAGGTCATTTAAATGAATGAAGATGAGCTAAATCCTCTGCTCAGTTTGGTGATTGTTTTAAAGCTTAGTGTGAATGTTTTTGTGGGTTTTTATTTGCTGTGTTTGTCATGTACTTTTGTTTTTGTTTGTATTTTATTTATTGTTTTATACAATAAAATGTTTTACTGTGAGAAGTTTGACTTTCAACAGTGAACAAAGTGAAACAGTGGTGAGAACGAGTCCTTTGCAATTTGAGTCATCCTTTATCATTTTATCATTATCATTATTTTTTATTTT